TGCGTTAAATGCATAGCTCCTTTTCCACCCCCCCCTCACTTGACAACCTACTGACAGTGCTGGATTTATGCACCAACTTACCAGCTCGCGCGTGCAATGCGCAGCTACCTCCCCCCCATCCCCCCAAATAATCGGTGAACGAAACTGCGACATCTACAACCACTGTGCGACGAGTGCGCGGTTCTTACAGCTGTAACTATGGCCTGTAGCTATAAGTTTGGTTGCGACGTTTGTCACAGCTTCGTTGTCGATTGAACTACTTCTTTCAGTTGCTGTTTTGCGCAAAATCTTGATACTTTGCAGACAGTCATTGCAGTTTATAGCTTTCTCAGTGGTGTAGCGTCCACAATAGTTGCCGAATGGTTTCGCTTATTTGTGCGGCCTGTCTGTAATGATAATATTAACTGTCTGTGGATAAATCAATGGACAGATTTCTATGTCCTGAATTGTTCTGAACACCACAGATGATGACAAGGTAAAGACTTTTTTCATTTCTTGTCTCAGTATAGCACTGATGGTTCATCACAAACCCATAAAGTGTCTTGTAACACCCACCTTATGCAATGACGGGTATCATCTTGCAAGAGGACCGAGACTTCCTTTTTCTCAGTGACGAATGTATCTAGGCTAAGGAACATGAAGACTATAACACGGTGGTAGGAAAATAGATGTAACTCTATCTAATGTCAAACCGGACATTCTCCAACTATTCCGTGCATTCACTGTGTGCGCCAGAGTTCATTCCAACCTTCGATCGCTGCAACAGTGGACTCGCAATTAGCTAACTATCGGCACAATTCTGAGAATTCCTAATAAGACTGCAACATCCACACGGTGCTTCTCGACCCTTCGCGCAGACTGCCTTTAACTGCAGGACGAAAAGTTAACTGAGATTTGGAAATCTCCTCATACTGTCATCAAACTTTAGAATTGGAAGCATCCCACCCTCCATCTAAGAGGTCGTTACTAGAGGAGCCAGTCAACAAGTAAACACGTGATGTGAATGAGTGATGAATGAATGTGATCAGAGATGAATGAGTGATGCTATATTCTGTTAAGGTAAGAGTTACTTACACTGCTGGTCGGCTATGCGTGGTCGGACTGTATGGTCGCTGGCAGTTTGCGAGATGAGCGTTGATGCCCACTCCGAACGATTATTAAACAGCGGTGCAAAGCTTCTTAGCTGTTTAGAGTAGACTGGCAGGCTGATAACCGTGCCGAAATTTCAGTAACATCCATATTATATCCAAACGTTAGCGTGGGTGTAGTTCCGTATGATTTTAACGGTTGGTTCGCCGAGCTAGGCAATTTGATTGCAAACGCTTCATCCTCAATCGAGGTAACATCATCAGTACGCTATTGTGGTTGGTTCGCGAGCTAGGCAATTTGATTGCAAACGCTTCATCCTCAATCGAGGTAACATCATCAGTACGCTATTGTGGAGCGTACTGGAGCGTAGTGAACAAACCAATGACCATTTGTGCTTCCTGAGCTACCAACATTCTCCATCTTGAGCTGTGTAGCAAAACGTGAAAGGATTGGTGAATCTTTCGTAAAAGGCACCAAAAGGTGTCCTGTTTTCTATTTATTAATTGCGGTCCCCAAACAGTTGCTCATTGGTGAGGAAAAAATAATGTTACCCTTGTCTAGTGTCTTCTATTTCAACGTTCACCGGTAAACTAACAAGTAAGTGTCATCCCCTAAGGCTTAAAAAAATGAATCAAATAAGTACATGTTCATAAAACAAAACGCAAGTTTGTGTTTATATTTTGCAAACTGATGGACCCGAAACCAACTGTGAACATAGTGTGTGGATTAAACCGCTGCAAACTTTTACCTGAACCCTCTCAGAAATTCGCCAGATGGTTTATTGATGGTCATTTGCTTGCTTGATAATCTTTAAACACGGGGCAGACAAATGTCTATGTTTGGATGGCTTCCCATCCGCTTTTGAGGTTATGAAACATTCGCATTTCTGAAACAGGATGTTTGTTGCGTGAGCATATTTCTAACATGAAAAAGGTTTTAGGCTGCAACAGAGTGCCTTTTCTTCAAGTGATGAATCTCCAGTGAAAAGTGGGTGACCGGAACATCAAGGGGGAGTAGTAAAAAAACTCAACTTCAACGTCACAATTCTGCTGAAGACTTGGAGAAGGAAAAGCCAGTGTTTACATTTTATTAACGAGTAGAAAAACAATGGGCAGCTGAGTTAATTCAAATAATGAGACTTGCAGAGTCTCAATTGGGTGCATGCTGAGTGCCTTGGGAAAAACCACAAAACCACAGGTGTACCAAAGAATAAACTTGGGTGAATAAACTGAATCAGATAGACTTATTCTATGAACTTTCAGCTAGGTTGAGCAACGCGTGCTTCTATGTTAGATCAAGCTTTTGTTCAGAAGATACCAGGGAAAACTGGCTTGAATCCCTAGGTGCAGGTGGGTTGGCTTGTCATTCATTGGTTTCACAATCGTATAAATTGACTCAAATTAGACTAGCAGACTACATCTGTCGTTTTTCTCAGAGTTGCATTAGCCATGAAAAATCTGGGTGGAGACACTTGTATCAATTTCCCTGAGGACAAATAGTGAAGAAAACTAGGATGCAATGGATCTTGCTTTACAGGCGAATCGGATTGGTCGACTGTCAGCTGATTCCGACTTACAGAGCAGGTCTTAGTGATGCCAGAAAACACCATGAGTCCTTCTATTAAATATTAAATATGCTCGCCTCTTTAAACGTTCAAAAAGGGATCAGTAAATCTCATATGGAGGACCCTTCGGAGGAAAACCGCATTTGTATACATCGAAATCAAATACCTCAAATTTCGCTAACAATAGAGCGTTTTCAGATCACATTGATACTGATGAAGATCCAGCTGGATCTTTCGTTCATCATGTATAAGGGCAAGAAAAACGATATTCACTCTCCTATGAGGTCACAAAAACGAAGTTAATCCCCTCATCCCCAGAAAATCGCCGCCATAGGACCACTACATTAGCGTAGAAATGTTGCCAGTACATAAGCTCCTCCAGTTGTCAAAATTGGCTTGCATTAGAAACTGCAAGACAAACTGCAAGACTCCGCAAACTTCTGTACAGGTGAATCTGTGGCTCAGGTTGCTGGGCTGCGCACTTATTTCATCGATAATCGACAATATGCTCCGTTTAGTGATGTCTCATCGATCGCAGCAATCTTGGTGATGGGCCACTCGCACCCCCCCCCTATTGTCCAGATCATTGGACAGGTGAAAGGTCAAACTAATGAGTGCACATTTTCACCACTGGAAGGGGTAAGTAAGCTAAAGGAGAACTACTGAAAAACTCTTGATTAAATTGGTGGCTTATTTGGAGTTCCTTGAAGATACACATCATCATCATCATCATCATCATCACCATCGACAGCGTGACATCAGTGTTCAACACCGATGCTTCACTGCCGTACAGCCATGATTTGGTTGAAAGCCTTATTGTAAAGAAAATAGTAAAGGTGGATGGGGGAGGGACTTAGTGCTAGCTTACCACAATCATTCCGAGGTGCCTACACCTCCAGACATTCACTCAGGCAATCTGGATAGAAACTGACAACAAGAACGTCACTGACATCGGTTGGCAGCCATATCTTGTAGTGTCTCCAACCAGGCACAGTGAGGATCACGCGGTCCCCACCCTGGAAGGCGAGTAGCACCGACAGCGCCCAAGCGTTTCGTGATCTCCTTCATACTGCTCTGCCAGGTCATGGGTTGGCCACCCCTCTGTTTACGCCACTCTCTTCGGCAAACGATGGTTCGGCATGCGCAACACATGTCCCAACCAACGCAGCTTCTGGTGCTGGATACATTCTTCAAAGGAAGTACCCGTTACACAACCGAAAACACGCTTTCTAACTACCTCGTTACGGATTCGTCGACATCAACCCACACGAGCTATGGTTCTGAGACAACGATTGTCGAACACTTGAAGACGTCTCAGTTCCGCTGCTCGAATAGGCCAAGTCTCACAGCCATACAACAAGACAGCCCGTACTGTAGCTTGATACACACGTCCCTTCAGATTCAGGGGAAGATACACGTCACCATTTGCTCGCTAGCTTGCAACGCCACATGTCACGATCATGTGTGCTTTGATAATCTTGGAAAAATCAATGGTTTCTTTGGCCGATTTAAAAGAATCTTCACATTTTAAAAATATCCTCGGTTCGCAATACGTTCGCCACTCTCCAGTGTACAACGAAAACTTTTATAGGTACACACTACTAGCTACCAAACAGTAGTTGCAATAAGAAAATAAATGTTTGTCGGGACGCCACCTCAACAATCAGGTCGTTTTTTGACCGTAGTGGTTCAACTCCTAAAATCAGGAAATCCACGTTTTACGATGCTGTCAAAATCTAGGTGGGCGATTGTGCGATACAAGAGAGGTGGTAAGCATCAGGGATACCTTTAAACAAATCCGTGGTTGTAAGGAAGGGAAGCAGTGGTCTCAACACTTGCCTTGGTGGTAACGATAGTGACAAAGCAAATATCCAGCCTAGAAGCTCACAGGAAGTAGGAATCACGCAGTGCGACAGGGGACTGCGCAGAACGGTGGGTTCTAACCGATGAGTAAGCCCACTCTAAATATAAGACAGAAAGGTCTGAACACAGCAAGGTTTGAATAAATCAGCAGAAGTTGTGAACGGAGTGCTCTTTATAAACAGAACGAACGACAGAAACTAAAAGATGAAATGTGTGACTTTTGTCTTGAAGATCCATACTTAAGCAGCCGGAGGTCAGTCAGCATTCGGTGATCAAGCATTACTATATACTTGGAGATTAACTGACAGGGAACGTTCAGCAATACGAAACAATAAATTGCATGGGATGTAACAACGAACCTCAAGTTCGCCTAACAGACGGGACTTCTCTTCGGCCAAAAGTGAATGATCATTTAAGATTGCTTCCTTTTCGGCAGACAGTTTGTCTTGTTGTTCCTTCATATAAGCCTTAATTCCTTCCGTTTCATTATCTGTACTTGGCTCCTCTCCGGTGTCTTTTCCCGTTCCTGATACGAGGGAGAAAAGAAGGGTAATTTCAAGTGCCGGCAATTCACTAGCAGATAATGCGGGTATTATAAATTGAAAACACACGCAAAGCGCATCATTTTGGTTTGCCAGTATTATGTATTTTAGCACACCACCCAAAACACTAGTTGCCACTGACCTACCACGACATCTCACAGAACCAGCTTTGCCACATAACACGGCAACTAAGTATCGCATATGGTGACAAAATTCAACTCATTCTTAAGACAGAAAACAGAATCAGAAGAATTCCTATACATTTCGCTCACTAGAGAGAAACCAGCTCTAGTGAGAAAAGAAGCTGACCGCTCTAGGGAGAGTGGGTGTTAGCAGATACCAATCCTACTGGAAATTCAACGGCTTTTATTGGAACTTGGTCCTTTATTCTAACAACCGTTTACTACTCCATTAAAGATTGCTCTTGACCATACAGAAAACATACATCTCAAGGATGCTGACAAATCACGCTAGTTGTGCAGGCCTTCGTGCTTACTTTTCTCCGCCTAGAAGTTTCCGCTTGTGTTATGTTGGAGTTGCGATGGTCGGTAGTGAGACTTGCTAGCATTTTGCCTTTCTTCAGCTGTACGTGCTCGTGGGATTTGTAGAATTCACATTCACATCACTCTGGTTGGACAGTTCCCTTAAGCCCTGGAGCAAATGTCACAGTAAATCTACACCAAATGGAGGAAGCATGAACTCGGGTTTCATCCGCATTGAGGCTCATCAAGAGTGGGTATTTTGGCCGTGCCAGGGACATATGACATGCGAGTGTGGTACCACGATTCCATCAGGTCAGGCTCTACGCACCTGAGTTATCCCATCTGGAAAGACGAATGTCCATATCCCAAAACAGCCAGTAATATGTATTATTGGTGAGTTCTAATAATGGTGAACATGGAGTCCTGTGCTTTCCACTTTGGCATGGACTCACCGTAATAACTGCACTAGGATATGAGCAAAACTACAACTTGGGAATGAGTTCCGTCTTTCGTTTACGCAGCTCCGTTTTCCTGCTTACTTATGCTCCTCTGGTCTGGCCGTAGGTCAAATGATGGACCAAATGAACCAATCACCGATGGGTTGAAACCAATGTCTGAATTTCTCGTTGGATCCATCATTCGTACTCGGGTAAGCTTTCTGTAGGGGTTCAAGCGCGTTCGGTTAGTGTAGTGTTTTGTTAGCCCAGGGGATTAAGCTGTGATAACCGGCCTTAAGACCCATTTTAGGGAGACAGATGAACTTCATTATCCTTGAAGCCTATAGTGGGAGTATTGAGAAATATAAACGCACGATGTGAGGCTCTAAATATGCCTCGCATCCCGTTAAAATGGCTGGGATGTGAATGTATCGATTCATTTCAGTTCGGTATGCAATCTAGAAATCATTGACTTGCAGTAACACCTGCAATGTTTGTCTCGATAGTCGCTCAGCTACACAGTTTCAAAACTGACCCCAAATAACGCGAGGTGCAGGTTACCAAATGATATCGATACATGCGAAGTGAGGTTCCAAATTTGCGTGCCATCTTTTTGTTCGCAGTGTCATTCTACAACATCCGCTATAAATGTGGCTGCTAGAGATATCAAGCGTAGAGAGAACTAGGGAACTAATTGGGGTATGTAGCACTTAGGCTATTCGCAGATGTATAGTACGTTCATAATAAGACTTGAGGATTGCTTTTCCACGCACGTTTTTGGAACGTTCCCCCCAAGGTGTTATGATTGGAAAATTAGTCGCTAGAATTGGGCGCCTCTTCAGGCGAGGAGCCTTGTGGTCAATATCTCCATCTCCTGGACCAATGTACGGGAATTAAGTAAGCAGGTAGCATTTGGCAGACAAGTTGAGGTATGAGGCGGTAGATCGCACGCCCAGGTTTGACCAGATGACATCTCTCACTTAAGTGCTCCTCTGACCTGATCTTCCTGCTTGGGTTTCCTTAACGACATTCGGGCAAGCAGGAATTATACTAGTTCACACTTAATGTGCATATCCTCTGAACAAGGGAACTAACCGGTTATTGTGCTCTGTTTTTGTGATCTTCGGCGCCGACTGTCCCCCAGTTCTCGCTGGATTCCTGCACTTCGATTTTTCAGCAACGATTTGAGACGTTCAATCTCGGATTGGTATTCACGCAAAAGAGCATCTTTTGGGTCTTCATTGATTTTCGGTCTGTTTTTGATGTTTTTGGCCCGACTTGCGTAGCGCAATGTATTGAGTGTCTCATCGTAGTTGTAAGTAGCTGGACCAATGTTTGCCACCATGACTGTTTTGGCGTTACCACCAAGAGAATCTTTAACATGGGATGAAGGACCAGGTAATTAGTAAGCAATGAAGGAATCTTTTCTAAATACCTAATTTATGAACTGAGGCACAACAACAGCTGCACACCACCACGTAACTGAGGAACCCAACCAAACTCTTCTTCGGGTAAGTGGATCATTTAGTGCAGATAACCACTGTCCTCACATAGAGGTACAGCTCTGAGAAGAACAAAACTACCTACATCTCGCTGGATTCCTGCACTTCGATTTTTCAGCAACGATTTGAGACGTTCAATCTCGGATTGGTATTCACGCAAAAGAGCATCTTTTGGGTCTTCATTGATTTTCGGTCTGTTTTTGATGTTTTTGGCCCGACTTGCGTAGCGCAATGTATTGAGTGTCTCATCGTAGTTGTAAGTAGCTGGACCAATGTTTGCCACCATGACTGTTTTGGCGTTACCACCAAGAGAATCTTTAACATGGGATGAAGGACCAGGTAATTAGTAAGCAATGAAGGAATCTTTTCTAAATACCTAATTTATGAACTGAGGCACAACAACAGCTGCACACCACCACGTAACTGAGGAACCCAACCAAACTCTTCTTCGGGTAAGTGGATCATTTAGTGCAGATAACCACTGTCCTCACATAGAGGTACAGCTCTGAGAACAAAACTACACAACAGGGGGCAAGTTGTTCCAGTTTTGCCATTTCATGCCTCACTGGGATGACACTGGCATTCCAGCAGACAGGAAAACGAGCTCAGGCAAACCCCATATGCCTTGCTATACCATACTATCACTGTTAGGTTTTTCAACTCATCTATCTACTTTAAGCCCCGTTCTAAGCTAGGCCATTCATGGTCCAGCACACCATAGACGTTAGCTGTATAGAAATCTCGTAGGTGAGAGGGACTCAAATACATGGTCGATGTTACCAGTTTTCTACATGATTTCATGCAACTACGTACCAGTTTAGAGGGAAGAACGTTTCAGTCATTAAGAACATTTCGGTAATAGTCACCTTTTTCAAATTGTGGGAAATCACTCACTATCTGCGAGTGTAAGGTAAAACCATTACTACTATTGTAGCACATGACTCGATAAAGCAACTTGTTTTAGCTCTTCAGAGAGTCCCCGGTTGTGAACAAGTTTTTTTCTTTCAGACGAAGAACACTTTTAGGTGGCCACTCAACTAATCGGGCACATCGATAAAAGGCTTGATGACATAGAACTACCAGTTATCTCGCGGTATGTGTTCATTCGAAGGCCTAAAGTCATTTGAATCTTAAAACGAACATCACTCTACAGCTCGTATCCTGTGAAACACCCGTTCCCTAAGCAACCCCTCCCCAGTCTACTTCATGACACTTCTTCCTGGCAGTCGATAGATTATTTCATGTATCAGCTCTAATCTGATCTTCCGATATCCGACTTTTGTGTTTTTGTTCCTTACATAACTCTCTTCGTGGATAAAATCAGCGCAGTGCCGATGGCATCTGATTTTTAAAAAAAAACTATCCGACTTCCATGTGACTAAACAAAAGGACTTTACAAAACAATAATAATAATAAAACAACAATAATAAAACAATAAGTAGAAGTCACTAGCAATTTTGTTGAATGTAGCACAAAACAAGTGAGTTATGACATCCAAACCAAGGAGATTTGGGTTAAAATACTCCAAATAACTGAGGAACAAATCGGTCATCGAACACACAATGGGTTGCAACACTAATAGAATCACCTTGAAGTAGACGTGTGAGCTTCGAGTCCCGATAAGGTATGTGGGTACTTTTCCCGTCGACTAATGCGGAGATGACATTTCCAAGAGTAGACAAACTCAGGTTGATCTTGGTCGCCTCCTTCAGTCGTTCTCCCTGAAAAATTATGTACATATGTATTCATTGTTCTTCGTGGAAGTTGCCCATGGTAACTGATACGTTATTATGATTTGTCAGAATTACTCAGACACGACTCTTCCACACACATTTAGTTGGCATTTCAAATGTTACTTTCAGTTGGGATTATAACCTGCAAGTGAAGCCAGATTACGCTGATAAACCGAGGCGCACTGTATAATTGTTTCTTCCAGGGAGTTTGGTCGGGAGATCGCCAGTCTGTGAGTTTCATGAGATACGCAATGCTGATGATTCTCAATAGGGATAAAACATCTGCACAGTGCTTCTTAGGTTTTCAGCATAGGCTAGCCTAACTTACAGGGCGAAATCTCGATTAAAAACTCCCAAACCTCCTCAGATTACCAACAACAATATTAGCTGAATGCAACACAAATACAGACGGATTCATATACTAGATATTTATCAATTACCCTTGTATAGATTCCATTACATTAAGAGTTGAACGCGACCGTCCAAGAATGTCCAACGTTCCGTGTGTGCGACAGATTAGGAATATTTGGTTGTCCTTGGTACTAATTGGGATGTGTCACCAAGATGTACCCCACGCACCTATCCTTGAACTTGATTTGACCCGTCTCAAGACATGTCAGATCACTTATGTCCACAGCTTACGTGTCACTATTTTATCACCAGAAGGCTAGAATGAGTGTTTGGAGGTATTTCGGGATGACTCAAGGTACGTTAGAAACAGGTCTCGTTCCATTCTTTCTACAGCATCAAAGTGTCAGCGTTGATGCTGGTGCCCATAACGATGACGATAAGAATTCCATGGAGGGCTAGGCTAGTGCATGAAAAGTATTGGGATACACAAAGTTCTGGAACCCACAGTCGAGATACATTTCTTATAAAGTGAAAGTGTCAAGCAGCCTATCAGAATGTTCTTCTTAGGAAGGGAGGCTTTCGGCTGGTTCCTGAGGTCCACAGCTATCGCTCTCAGGAGGGAACACATCGAAGGACAGGCTGTTCGGTTAACTGGTTAGCTGGTCGGTCGGCCCGGCACTTGACGTTGCCTATCCTGAGGGCAGCAACTGTTGTTTACAATGTGCTTTGCCATGCCATAAGCGGTGCATTTTAAAGAATTGGTGATAACTCATTGAAAAAGGACGTAAAATGCGTTAGTGATATCAAAAGATTTGAAGCTCAGTAATATTTACCGGTCCTTGATCAGATGTTTGTTGGCCTGTTCGTCTAGCTTGGCAAGTGGCAGGGAGAGAGCAGAAATTTGCACAACAAAGAAGTCTCTCCAAACGGAAACCAATTAGCGGAGGAAAAGATTAAAGATCTCCAGTGAATTGACCAGTAAAATACATGAGGAAGTAGTCCCGTAATACACAGAACTCATACAATCGGGTTAATTGTATTTCAAGCGGCTTCATTAATGTAGTGTCACAGTCAAGTGATAAAATTGAGGAGGGTTCTATGCCGGCTTGGAACTCAAGTTACGACAATACCATAGCAGGGAGGGTTCGTCTGAATATGTCCAAAACAAACCTCAGAAAGGGTTTTCGACTGTCTTTCGCTTCCAGCCAAATCAACGAGGTTTAATTTGCCCACACGGATGTGATTTTCATCATCAGCTCCCAGCTAGAATCGAAGTGATAATATCGAAAGAGAAACGGAATCTTGAATTACCTGACAACACTCAATGGTCACAATGAATATCGCATGAGACCTTGAACTATGTTCGTTCATATTTGTTGCGCTAGTACACCAGTAACCCCTTCACAATCAAACGAACATACCCAACGGCGCGATTTTGGTAGCCGATATTCATCACTTTTTGAATTTCATCAATGTTCCGGGTGAGGACTGAGGATAGATCCTGTGGAAAGAAGAAAATTGGTTCACTTGACATTCTGAGCTAAATCAATCGCTATTGCTGGTGAGATTCTTAGTAGAAAGTGAAGTGTATCTGTACCTTTGTTTTGGGACAAAGCTAACACCAATGACCATGACTAGTTAACTTCCCTTTCTCAAAATCTTACAGATCAACCTTGTCTTTTTCCGGCTACTGTGTCATCTGATGTTTCCGTCAGCAAATTCCCAGCCGAAAAGTACACGAGAACTGGAGAGTGGGAGACTTCCGGTTGTCCAACAAGGTCCTGAATGATTCCCAATGTGGAATAAATATCGGTCAATTTCGCATTAGATTTTACAAGTATAACAAAAGAGGTATTTAATATTGCAAGCTCAAGTGTTTAAAGCCCGAATTTACTGTCCGGAAGGTCCGTGGTTCAAATCCGACCTCTGCCTCTCGACTTCCCCTGTCTAGGCTTGTGCAACCTGGCAGCCCTCTCAGCCCTCGTGCTTCCTTCGGGTGGCATGGCATCAAGGCACCGAAAGAGCTGAATGACTTTTTTTACATACATATCCAGCAGCATGTTTGATATAACTCGCCAAAGCAGTAATGGGAAACTGTTTAGTGATATTCCAATACATTAATATGAAAGCTGAGTCCAGATTGCTGACTGCAAATAACTAAGAACATCGGACTTTGACCTGACCTAGATAGCAGTCCAAGAATAACTGGATGGCATCAAGCACCGAAAGAGCTGAATGACTTTTTTTACATACATATCCAGCAGCATGTTTGATATAACTCGCCAAAGCAGTAATGGGAAACTGTTTAGTGATATTCCAATACATTAATATGAAAGCTGAGTCCAGATTGCTGACTGCAAATAACTAAGAACATCGGACTTTGACCTGACCTAGATAGCAGTCCAAGAATAACTGGTCAAATGAAGTGAATTAAACCACACACGGTTAAATGTCATTCACAATAACACGTTATCGGTTAAATAACTTGTTTGCGGGCAATAACTCATCAAAACCAGCTGGCCTGGATTTAGCATTTATATAATAAGCAATAACTAACAAGTTGTGGCTATAGACAGGACAGGCATGCGTGCGCCACGCCCCAACAGGAACTATGTGAACTAGACAACAAAGTGCATGAAACCTACTCGACATTCATTTCCTCTTTTGCCGTCCACTTCATGCTTAGAACTGGGGTATACTCCCAACTTCAAAATACTGCTGACTGGAATTCTCGCTATCCGCCCCAATCACTTCGTCTTACTTGCTTCAAAATATATACAACATATGGCGGCCCAAAGATAGCATAGAACAACCTCCAGAAGATATTTAAAGTAGCTGGCTAAAGTAAATTATCTTTTGCAAATGGTAATGGACAAGCCCCTGAACTGCGCTATAACGGATGACAGGCAGCAACTGCTTATATATTGTTTACAATGTATGCACATCTCACGGAACAGCTTTTACTTAAGCAGCTTCAAGGCTGACCCATAAAACTAAGTTCTCTCCTGAGCCATTATATCACTGGGAGGCCATTGCGGAGATTTTTTCACCAGAACTTCCTCGTACGACGTAATGATGAGAATAATCAGATTCTGTTACATGGTCGGTATCTGCATGCTGTAAGTACATGGGTTGCTTCTGAGCAATTGGGAACGGAAAACTTCTAGAGAGGTTAAATGACTTGCAGATTAATTTTCTAGCGCACTCTAGTGTGATTATGTAGATTGCACCTATCAACCGTTTTATGCGTGGAATCACGTCGATCATTAATTAGAAAAACCTAACACGCACTTCACGTCAAAAATGAATCATCACTAGCTTATACAGAGAGGGAAACAGAGGATGTACTGTATAGAGAGGATTGTTCAGGTGCCGTTTGATAGCCCCACTCCCTTTTTCCAGGTGGCACAAACTGGAAGTTTAGACAGGTGCCAGTAGGGTTTTCGAAATGTTTATTTCAATAAACGCATTTCGTCGGCGGTCCCAGTGCTATTTACCAACAACAGTGGATCGCACCTGTCAGAGGGACTAAGCACATCTGCTAGATGGAACAACCGCACGTGCTTACAAGCTGCCACCTGCTGCGCAATCCCGCTTTACTGACCTATACGACCGGACCGTCCGAACCCGGTCCTTCCACCTGATATCTTGTATCGATGATGAGCCGATAAATTTCTTAGTATTCTTGAGTTGGAACAGAGCTGGAAAGTTGTGTTTTACGAACTCACTAAGGTTTACAGTACACAGGTCCGCAACATCCGATATTTGTCATTTTGTTGAGAAAATTCTGCCTGGTCAGGACAATACTCTGCAGAAGCTTTTTCAGCCATTTACTACAAAGAGAGCAAAAACTAAACGTAGTGTATCATGAGGAGTCTTGCACACCTAGTGTGGACGATGTGGATGTGTGGAATGCGCTGCTTAGCAATGATTCGGTGATTTGTCCCAATGGAGCTACGAAAAGGCCGCATACGTAGGCACAGACCAAGTCAGGTGCGGTCCATGCGTACATGATGGCTCGTAGTCTAAGTTTGCTGTAGCGAGTTAGCTAAATGACCTACATTTTTAAGGAGATGTTGCGGGGTAACAAATACTGGTAGAATCATATATTTAAGCACATCATACAAACTATTTCCGGAAGTCTACTTAACACCCACTTGCTAACCAAAGATTGGTGAGTGTCTTAGAGATTGAACTCATCACAGATACATTTCACGTTGGCAGTTTTCTGGAGGACAAAGTTCATGCACCGTGGCTTGATTGAAGCGGATGTACTCAGCGGTGATCACGGTTGCCTGACATAATCTCATTCAATCTCGCCGAAAAGGACATGTGAGACACTAGACCAGCGAACTTCGAACATAGGAAAGAATTCATCAGTGGGATGCGAAAAGATATTTTACTGCACCCCAGAGAAGTTAGTTAAGTCGGACCGAAAGAATTCTGAAGTGCGAACAAGTAAACGGATAACAATGTTAAAGAATTCTGATGTGCCGGTGTGCTACCGGTGGAACATGCGAGTAGTGCCTGTTCAAGTTTCAAAGCATCGTCCCAAAATCTGATGAAAGATTCATATGGAAGTCATTGAACCATTTTCCAGCGTTTGTTCATTATTGGTTAGTAGTTAAACAACGTCC